GCGTACAAGCGCGCCGTGCTCAACGCCATCGACTACCTCTCCAAATTCGGCTACACCAAGGAGCAGATCTACCTGCTGCTGTCGTGCTGCCCCTGCGAGGGCCGAATCAGCGGCATCGTGGACATCCCGGTGCGCCCCCTCAGGCTGCCGCCGCTCCAGCCCCGAGTGTGCAATTAGTATTGATAGAGGGCTGGCGCATAGGCGCGGGGCGCGCCGATTCCTTACATACTGTACACCACCCCTGGAATCTCTGCGGGCCCAGCTGCCAATTCGGACCGCACACCATCCCCCCAGCCCTGTATCATGCCTTGGGGCTTGGGGTCAACTCTACGTATTGGGATCAATTTGACAGAACCTTGCCCTGACGGCCTGGCACTACGCACTGCTGTGTGCACCTGGGTGCCCCGCAGTTGCTGCATGCAAGCTGCCGCCACGACACGAAAGCGGTCCTCAGGGCCGGGTTGTCCGTATTGATGTCTCATGCTCCTCCCATGGGCCCCCCTCCCCTTGCCCCGCCGTCGCAGAACGCGTGCGCCACCCTCGCCATCCCTGTCGCGATCTTTGACCAGGACATCCGGTGCGGGCCAGATCAGAGCACAATCGCTTCTGAGTCACTGCTTTGATGCTCCACGACGACCAGCTCTGATTTGGGGTGCCGCTTTTGCCTGTGTCACATTTTTGGTTTCGACGACACGTCACTGCTGCAAGCTTCTCAAAGACGGCTGGCCGGTCGTTTGGTTTCAGTCTGAATCAGCACAAGATATGAGCCCGATGGTGCTGTCTGTGCAATGTTTTAAGAACATGCTGCCCATCATCTCGTGCCTCCTCGTCTCCCCCAGGCCAAAGAAGGGCGGGCCTCCCACCGGCCCGCGCCTGATCAAGCACGCGCAGGTGCCCCAGGAGCCGTACGACGGCGGCAAGCCCACCACCTGCTGCGGCGCGCACGCGGCCGTTGCCGCGGCCCAGGCCGACGAGTGACAGCGGCGCGCCCTGCCGCGTGTTCGACAAAACGCCTCCTGCGTGTGCGGTTGGCGTGCGAGCCTCCCTGCCATTGCAGCCATCCCTTGGCTGGCGGTCTCGAGGTGGAGAATTGTATTGGATTGCATGAGTCACATTATTTTGGTGGCAGGCAGCAGTGGGCGCCATCTGCCATTCTGCCGTGTGCGCCGAATTGGCAGGCGCGCCCACCAAGCCGCTTGTCGTCAAGCTGTACTTATTCATGCGCTGTGCACTCTGGTTTTTGGAGACACGTGCTGTGGCAGCCCCCACTTGCAAGCCACGTGCAAAGTATACGTTGCATCATCGCACTCCATCGCATGCAGCTCACCGCCGTGCCCGCGCACACGATCGACCGTGCTTGCGACGCGGCGGCCATGTATTGCTGTGCGTGAGGAGCCCTGCATGTACGAAATGCACTTTGTGCTGCCCTGCGCAGCTCAAGATGGATGCAACGGCGAGTAAATGATCTTTTTTGTTCCTAGTACTTGTAACCGAGCCCTTGCCACAATTCGAAGGCCATTTCAAGCGCAAGCGGTTGCGGTGGACAGTGGCGGCTTGAAATGGGTGTATGGCTTGAAATGGGTGCGTGGGGGCTCTGTTGCGGGTGGGCTGCGTGCTGCCGCTTGCAGGGAGGTGTGGGCCGACCTCAACGGTCGCAACAGCACCTGCGGCAGCGGCCGAGCTTTGTAACAACAGTGGGCCAGCCACCAGACAACCACCGAACCATGAACCAAAGCCAGGCGGTCAAGTCTCTCGAAGGGCAGTTAGGCTGGCTAAAGTGCAAGTGTGGCCGCACCGAGTGCCCAGGACGCCTCAAGTGACCGGGCGCAGAAAACCGCCGTCATGCGCCCGAGGGCCGGCGGGGCGTAACTGCGTCTGGCTCCGGGCATACGTCTATTTTAGCATTGATACTCGATCAACGCGCGCTTCGCGCTTTAGGTTAGGTCCCACTGCATCACCACCAACTTTGTCGAGGAGGGGGGTTTTCCCGTTTCTGCGTGGGTGCAGGAGTCCAACATGCGGCGCAGACAGAAGTAACAAGGGCTGTGTATAATCAGCTCTATTTCATCAGACATGCAGCAGCCGGAGCTCGTCATCGCGTTGCCGAAGATAAAGACAGCGGTGGACCCAGCGATCAGCCCTGGGCCTTTCGTAGAGCGGTAAGCATGTAATAGTTGTCCTAAAAGTATTACTCGCCACCTTGGAATCGTCCAGGTGGCTGCCGTAACTTGCGCCAGGGTCCCGCCGAAGTGCACCCGCGTGCTCTGCTGCGGCTGCTGCCCCTACCCCCGTGCCCGGCGCCGTCCCAACCCCCCTCCCCAAAACCCTTGTTTGAAACACCGCCTACCGCCCATCCTGCAGGCCCACCTTCACTCTCGATGAGCTTCTCAACGTATTCGATGCCAAGCTGTACTGCGCATCCCCCGTGCGGGGCAGCAGCTGCGGGAGCCCCTGCTCGGTGCGCCGCGCCACCGCCCCGGGCGGCGCGTTCTCCGGGCCCCCCCTGTCCAGCGCAGGCGGGAGCGGCAGCATCACTGCTGGCGGCAGCGCCACCTGCGGCGGCGGGCTGAGCCGCTGCGGCGCGGCGTTGTTTGGGGCGCCGTGCGACGATGGCGGCGTTGGAAGTGGCGGGGGTGGCGGCGGCTTTGGCGGGGGCGGCAGCGGCGCCCCGGCCAGCGGACCGAGCCCCTTCGCGCGCGACCACGCCGCAGCTGCCGCGGCGGCAGCTGCCATGTGCGGTAGCCCGCACGCGGCGCTCTGCGGCGGCGGCGCATTTGGCGGCAGCGGGTGCGGCGGCTCTCGCTTCTTGGAGCAGCACTCCAGCAGCTTCGAGGCAGCTGCCCGCGCACTGTCGCCCGAACCGATGCGTAGCTTCAGCCCCGCGGCTTGGGCGGGCGTAGGCGGCGGCGGCAGTTGGTGCGGCAGCCATGGGGGGTGCGACCCCTGGGAATGCGCCAGCAGCGAGGGCGGCGGCCGCTCCGCCGCCAGCAGCCCCGTGCCTGGAGGGGCGCGCGGCTGCGGCTGCGGCGCCCGCGGCGCGTCGTGGCTCTCGATT